TTGATCTCAAGCCGGTGTTAAATATATACGTACCACAGGTCCTGAGATTGACCAATCACAGAGTGGTTTCATCTCTCCCTCTCTCTATCTCTGTTACTTACTATGGTTAGCTCAAAATTATTTGCATGAAATGTATTCACAACACGACCAGAAAGGTACAGTGGAGTAGCCAGAAAGCATTTTCTCGCTTCTGAGTAAATAAGATTGGTATAGGAAAATACGCTCAATGCAATAAACTAATTAACAATATTTTAATATGATGTTATATATAGTTTTATATATATATATATATATATATATGGTTTGAGATGTGCTTTGTGGGATAATTTGGACAACTTATTCTTTCTCAAAGTATTTTGTGTTTTGACTTGACAGGAATTTCTTTGAAAATGTATTGGAAAAGTGAGTAACATCAATAAAATTTCAAGAAATGAAAGCTATACAAAAAATTACAATACAACAACTTGTATGGAACAAAACGTTTCAACTGGTATTATGTTGTTATGTATTATGTTTTTAGGTTAGGTTTTTAACCTGACCCTGCTCGTGCATAACGCTGAAAAAGTGAAAACAGTTAGTCGACCTGACGGGGAAAAACTTGGTAAATTTGAATAACTCACCGCAAGCAACGGGCTTTCAGCCTTCTTACTATTGGACGAAGGCTTAGAGTTCACCAGCTTTACGTTCTTGGTATCGGACAAACGTGGAACCTTACTCGGTTTTTCTACTACATCAGGACTGGAAGCAAGTTTAATCGGTTTAAGCGAATGACATTCAGGTGAGAGAGCGGGATGCGATCTTTTACCACCATTTACTGACCCTCTTACTGGTGTACTGGGTTCAATTTTCTCCTGTGTTTTCTCTGCCTCGATTGCCTGTCTCTTCAGCTCCCTACGCTTACGACATGCTTCGTGAAATTGTGCCACACTGCGGTCATACAGCATATCATCGTGTTCAACCTTGTCGAAGAGAGACGGAGGCGTCGTTGTCTTGGGCTCTGAAGTTGCACTGCTACCGTGATTGGGAGGCTCATCCCCCGAAACAGTCTCAGTAGACATCCTAAAATCCCGATTGGGAGGATCTGTTCGCCTTGACTGTGATCGAGTAGCCGGAGAAGAAACCTCCTTGATTGTATCGGTATCCTTGCGTGAGGAAAGAGTGGCTACATCGCTATTGTTGACAGCTGGAGGTCTCTGTATGTTAGCAGGCCTTTTTGTAACACCATTGTTATGCTCACGACAGAATTTCAGGACATAATCAATTTCGAATTGAGTGGCTTTGCGCAAACGGCTGGCCGGAGTCCATTCGATCACCCGATCCCACACATAACGTAATTTGTACTCAGAGCGTCCACCTTGGCGACGGCGATGTGCAATCACTTCTGCTAGATACTCATAATTGTTCTTCCACGACGCCATNTTCAAATTGTTTTGGTACGCCGGGATCGGAAAGCGATTTCGAACGGCCAGATACATCCGACTCCGTGCCGGATGACTGCGATTTTGTCATTGTCTTTGTCACCGTATTCAAACGCTTGAGTGGGCGGATGTTATCGGAATTTATCGGATACCATGTGTCATAGCGAGAGCTCCAATTACAAAAGTGGACATGAACCTGTAGAAATTAGAAATGGTGAAAAGATGTAAACAATAAAGACTAATGAAGGGGGGTTTTCCGATAAAAGTGATGAATATTTCTCAGCGAAAGAAGCAGTATGGTCAATTACCAGTGGAGCGTTAAGTATCTGATACAGCAGCTGGCCAGCAGTTTAAAAAGAACAGAATAAAAAACTAAATGCGATACGGAATGATGCACGATTACTACGATTCTAAAATTAGATCTGCGGCTGGATGCAGTGAATACAACCCCAGTTGTTAATGAGTTATGAAATGAATGAATTAGCTTAAATTAGACACCAAAGACATTGCAAGCGTCATTCCAAACTCAGACATTACATATAGAATAGGGCTTACAGGTCAACAAGATCTCTCTTAAGATATTCATGTTCAGTTGTTCTCTTGACCTGAAAATGTTTTTACCTATCGCCTAAAGTAGGTAATCCGTATTAAGCTTTTCGTGTTTGCACGGAAGCAAGGATTGAACTCACTGAATTTATAATGACTGACTGTTCATCTCAATTATTCGAAACAGCAATTCGATGGCCTTTCAAGGATTCACCTGGCACTGGTCCAGACAAGGGACCCACTAGTGTAACCTGACTAGCTAATAGCAACCAAAATAGGCTAATAATGCTTATTAGGTGGGTTTCGTCAAGGAATGACGAAGCAAACAAACAAGTTCAATTCAGGCAACCGGTAATCGCTTGCGGCAGTAAACTAAAAACTTCAATGAGAGACTGAGAGCGAATGCTCCAAAAGGATCGATTCATCAATCCCACGGGGATGGATAATGGTTGACTATCAACTGTTGTTGTTGTTGATTACAGATACACACATTAAGGTGGGATGGATGATACTGGAATTATATAGTGCGCTCAGAAGGATGGATGTATTGTTCAATATTGAATACTGGTCAAAAGGATTAAATACGGCATCTGTGTAACCTGTGCTGGTGCCGTAGTATCTCTTTCAGTAGTACTAACATCTTGTTTCCAGAGTGAAGAGTTGGATCATTCACTCGGTGAGGAGAGGCTTTTTTAATGCTGCAGGGAAAACCCAAATCAGTTTGATGGGTTGAAGCTACAATTTATTAACTTCTNCTCAGTTGTTTATGAACTTGAAAGAACATGGTAGCACTAGTCAACTGGGTTCTTCTTTTGAACAGCAGACCGAGGCAAGTTGCTCCCTTCCACAATAACCAGAAGAGATCGGAAATACGAACCCGCAATAAATAACTGAATTTGTACAAAATGGCTTCTAGCCTTCGTGTCATAACGAGACAGGTTCATTGAGACTTTGTCTCGATTAAATAGCATGCTACTCAAATATCGCGTCTCTAGAAGAGCTACAGTAAACAACAATCCAGAGTGGGTACTGAGTATTTCGGTTTACGCTTTGCAAAGCGATTAAACTGTATCCGTCAAAAAAGTACAATTTCTATTAAGTTACAAGCGGATAGGCTCATTAAAACCACTGTACCCTTAGAAAGAACAAATATCGATTTCAAAGGAAGATTTTTCAATTAGAAAAGTCAAGCGCTCTTATCACCATCATCACCATCATTAGTGCAATATAGCGAAGCAAACTTTACTGACCGCTACCAAACTCAGAATGCATACAAGGTAAGTGAGAATGTGTAAGGCGGATACGGCCGATTTCTAGGGACCGGAAAAGAAAGCAAACCTCTTTGGTCAACACACAAGGAGCACAGTCTAATTGTGCATACATACTTTTTCAAGCATTTTGGTCTCACAGGTGACAGAAAGATCGCGACTGCCGTCGGTTTGCTGCGCTCTTAACAAGTTCCTGTTCACTGAAGTTGGGGAATGTCTATTGTCCTGACTTCCCCTGGTGTACGCAGGTTCTACAACCGAACGTATTATAACTCACGTGCGTAAATTGTTATTTTTAGGATCCTCCTGAACGCTTGCAGTATATGTTAACCACTGGGGTGCTATATACGGTCAAGAGGCGATGCTGACCCCTGGTGCAACCTTTTTATTACACCCAAGTGTGATGAACAGCAGAAATGGCAACCCCCATAGTCACGAGGATCTGCTGCTCAGGTGGAAACCGGCAATCTAAGCCCCACCCTATCACGGAGGAAAATACATCGCAATCGAGAAGGTTCCGTTTTATTTTCGGTTTTACACTTCGGTAAACTTCACTTTCTTTCGTTGGTTTCCGCTGCCCACGCTTGGTTACTCATTTGACTGACCACTGAAGAAAAGTCGGGAGGTAACAGCCAGTTCATCATTTAGCCATATCAATCTCTAACCAATGATGAGACTGATGTTGAACTCCTCAACAGGGAAGTCCGACGCAGTCTAAGTCCCCAGGCTTCCCATACTAGGTGGTGGCGCAGTGCTTTAGTCGCTGTCACAGGCGTGCTTTTGGCAGCGATCAGTGAAGTTCGCTTCACTGTATTTCGCTGTACGATGATGATGATGTGCTTTGCAACCTCTGGTCCGAGATTCGAACCCCGCCACCACCACCCGATTTTGGTGGTAGGTAGCTCTGCTGTCGTCCGGTTCAATACCACGCCCAACCTATCGGGTCCTCATGTAGTTCGCCACTCCAAGTTCCGGGGCTTAGGTTGCCGGTTTCCACCATTGAGAAGCTATGGGTTTCGCTCCTTCTGCTGTTCCTCACACTTAGGTTTGTAATAGAAAAATATATATGGCCTTGTGACTGAGTGTCGGCAAACAATGGACGCTACTGAAAAATATGCCTCTCTAAGCCTCAGTATGGTCGGGGGTGGGTGTCTAGGGTTGCGGCTGGTCACTATACACTTGAAAATTACGAAATGCTCCCATACGACTAAGCGTCTCAAGCAGCCTCTGCTGAGGAAGCCCTACTCACTGCCTTCTCGTGGCGGTGTTTTCCCACCAAAGTGTGAGGACGGAAAACCGATATCTGGGGCTATAATCGGGTTGATGGACCACTGGCAGTTTACCTAGGGAAGTTGGCCAAAAATCCTGATTCTAAACCAACCAAAAGGAGGCATATGAACTAAACACCTTTTTGGTTGTGCAGTGGGCACCGGCCCGATTGGGCATTGAGGTATATTGGGCACCTTGGACGTCTGACCCCGTCCGAAAAGCGTAAGATCCGATGAACTGAACACCGGCTTCCAATGGATTGCGGTTCTCACACACCGCCCCACTGACTTGAAGGTTAGGCTTTGGATAGCCGAAGGCTCTGGTTGTGGATTCCTCAAGAAAATTCACCTTTCTTGGCCTGGGCAACCTGGCGGTATTCAGCCCACAAGCCCATCATGGAACATTTTCTTTTTTACAAAGATTATTGTACGATGATTTTCTTGGTACACAGTCTGTCCTCAGACAGGTGTGAAATACAATAATAATACACTGAAGCCTATAAGCTGACATGCGTAACGTAATTTACGACCGTAAACTTGAGCTAGTGTGCATCCACTGCTACATAAAAGTCTTCATCAAAGCTCATCAACTTCGGGGTAATTACGTAAACTTATAATGCGTAGCAGCAATGTACGATCAACGATAACTCTTCAGGAAACCAACAGCCGTTTGAGTTTCTGCATTCAACATTTCGTGAAACTACCATCTAGGACCTTTTAATGATTACCGAAGAACGCTTGGTAACAGAAGTGCCTACTGTTATGTTAGGCTTCAGACATGTGAAAAACCCGTAGATAAAACGTTAAATTTCAAGTACTATAAGACGTAAACAAATGAGGAATCCAGCAGTAGACAAGATGTTTTTTGATCACCAGGTAGTGGGGTTTACAGCTACACAAACAAGATGTTACACTTTTACTGTGTAAAACGCATACAGAACCCTAACTCTCAAATCGCCCAGAAAACCTTAAGGAAGACATGAATTTCTATTTCACAACAATAGACAGTCTGCATACTACAGGTCAGATAACCTGTGTCGTGGAGCACACCTACCTAACTGCTTTCACAGGTTGTTACTGATATAACAGTCAACGGATTAGCACTGAAAACTGGTAGACACAAAAAGCTCAGAAAGTTACCTATTTGAGGTCGACCTCCGGAACAAATGGTCAACATTGACATCTAATGGTAAGATTGTCCTGACAAGTTGTACCAGGGGTCATTGTTTTGTCTCCCTAATACATAAAGCTACTCGGTATGAAAATGCCAAACTGTCCGTTCTCCCCGATTTATGTGCTGACATACTAGGGCGACTTATACCACACAAGTCATTAGAAATACCCTTCCAAAGAATTCATCATCATCATCATCGTACACCGAAATACAATGAGGCGAACTTCGCTGATTGCTGCCAAACTCGCAATGCATAAAGGTTAGAGGTAAAATTCAAGGTGGACAGGGATTGGACGTATTTTGAGGGAGAGGGAAGAAGGTAAACCTCTACGGTGAACAGACTACGCAATCGAATCCTGCACACATACCGTTTCAAGCATTCTGACCTGATAAGAAACGACAACGCCACTGCCGTAGGTTCGCTACCATATCCTTCTATGTCTCCAACCAACCAGTTGCGGA